TGCCTGTAATCCCAGAACTTGGGAGGCTGTAAAGAGGCGGATCACTATGAGTCCGATCTAGTAGTGAGACTCTGAACACCCTGTAGACCCTTCCCTAAAAAATAAAAAAAGGGAGAGAACTAATTTCCACAATAGTTTTTGAAAAACTGTTATAAAGGAGGCCAGAATAACACAAAGTCTGATAAAAGAAATGTCCTATGAGAAGGCTAAAATTGTATGATAGCAAGGGGAAGCATCTGCCATTGGTTTAGAAAGTAAGGAGATGCCTGTAAACCTTGGAAAGAGATTTAGGTTATTAAGAAGACATAATATACACTTTTGGAAGTGCTGGTTATGTTTGACACAGTAAAGCAGAGCCATAGAGGGAATAAACCCAACACTGGGGTGGCTCATAAAGACGTTTGCCTAGATAGAGTCTCTGTCCCTAGAAAGACAAGACGAAGACAAGGGTTTGCACACAGGATGACGAAATGTGACTCCAGAGAACAGGAGAGGGTGCTGGCGACGTAAAACAGGGATAGTGGGAAGCCGATAGAGGGAGTGCCTGCATTCAGCCTGCCATGCAACTGAAGTCTGTCTCCTTATGCCTCTTCCTTTGGTTGCTAGCTTGGATCCAAGCAAAAACCATCATTTTCCTCAACCCACAGAAGACAATAATGTATCCAAAGGTAACTGTTGAGTCATTTGAAGACATCATGTTCTCATTTTCTTTCTTCTTGCTACTGCTACACTTTGGGGGAACCATGTACAAGGAACTCAGAATTGGCAAAGTGAGGGATGGCCATCCAGACCCACAGCTCTTCGTCCAGGGTTCTCAGTGGACCAGTTCTTGTCCCTTCTAGTCCTGTGAATTTTTCAAGTGTATTATTTCATGCGCCCTTCCACCACTGTCCTAAGAGCCCCGGAGCAAGCACTGATGCTCCATGCAGCTGCAGTGACAGGCTGTCAGATGAGACCTTCTCAAAGCCTGTTGTGCAGAAATGGCAGCATGAAAGGCAGGTAACCAGAGGACAGGGGTGAGGGGAGGAGAGTCAAGGGGTGTCCCTATCCACACCCAGGCAGTGAAGCAACCTGCATTTATTCAAGAAGGCTAGGTTTTGGAACATACTTTTTCAGGTTGGGAAATTTGACTTCACGAACTTGGCATGCATTGTAAGACCTGATCCTTCCGCTTGTCACGTTCAGGGTGACCCGCATTCTGAGGGAGGGGCCCTCATCACGTACACCTTCATATTCAGGTTCTTATAGTGATAACAGAGTACACATGCTTGCATAGGTTCTCAAGCCATATTACAGGTTTTCTCTAATGGAACACTCACAAAATGAATAGCAGTTTTAACACTTTCCCCATAAAGAGGCTGTAGGTCACACAAACTACTGAAATTCAAAAAACAAACAACAACAAAAAACCAAAAAAAAAACCCCCACCAAAATAAGATTAAGAAAATATTGCTGATCCTTCTATTTGCAATCCCTTTTTCAAGTAAAATAAGGACAATACAATTAGTTCTGCAAACTGCCTGATCTCATTCAAGTTGAGATCAATGACTTTATTTTTCTTTAAATGCATGTGTGTATGTCTGCATGTGCATGCGTAGGTGTGTTGATATGTTTAGTCAGGTGAATCTTTAGGGAAGCTGACTGTACTTCAGTGATAAGCACTAAGGTTTTACATAAATTGAGAATAGGATGTCAAATTGGTCTGGAAATGAACACCATTTAGCAAGTCAACAATTTAAATGCCCAGTGGAAGTGCCGGCTGGTACAACCATTATGGAAATCAGCTTAGAGATTCCTCAAAAGCTAGGATAGGAGGTCCCATTCAAGACAGCTCTTCCCCTCCTAAGTATTTTCCCCAAAGAACCAAACTCATCATACCACAGCAGTGTATGTGCATCCATGTTTATAGCAGCATAATTTGTCATAGCTAAATCTGGGAAATAGCCTAAATGTCCATCAACTGAGTAATGGATAAAAAAGATATGGTATTTTTATACAATGGAGTATTATTCAGTTATAACAAAGATAAATTTGAGGCATTTGTAGATAAATGGATGCAACTAGAGACTATATTGGTAAGTGAAATAAATCAGGTCCACGTGTGCAAACATTGTATTATCTCACGAGTATGAGAATCTGAAAAAGTCATTAAAATCTGAAAGGTACAATAGACACTGTGAAAGGGAAATAATTTGTTCAGTGGAAAGGAAAAACTGGGATGAGGAAAAGGGCAAATGAAAGAAGCAAGAAAGATATATTTATGTATATATGCAGAATAGTTTGGATAATTGTATTGTTGATTTCTGCTGGTCTTTTGAAAGGAGCAGTTAAAGTTTAATTTTTTTCTTTTCATTCTTGTTTTTTTTTTGTTTTGTATTTTGAATTTCTTATAACTTTTTTGTTTGGTAGTGTTTTTTATTTAAATGAATCTTGCAAGTTTCTATCTTGTAGCCTGAGCACCTAATGAGCACCTAATTTAAAGGATAACCAGAGGGCATCATGTATGTAATACAGCAACCATTGTTGAATTCCTATTAAGTGAAATTTTATACTGTTTCTAATACTGTTTTTTCTTTTCTTTTCTTTTTTTTGTATTTTAGGGAAGAGTCTATAGGGTGTTCAGGGTCTTACTACCAGATCAGACTCATAGTGATCCATCTGTTTACAACCTTTCAAGAGCTGGGATTATAGGCACACATCACCATGCCCAGTCTCAATTCCTATCTCAGTGTGTCCTGGGGGGGTGGACCCAAGCCCCTGGCCCCTGCACTTGCTTGCAGGCACTTTAATCCACTGAGCTATTTGGCCAGCCCACTAATGCTGGCTTTTTAAAATCATTATTTTGTGTTCTTTAAAAAAAAGAATGCTCAAACTTTGTCTTTTAAAGAATCTGAATTCCCCTTGGAGCCTTATGTTATCTATCAATTTTATTTGAATCAATAAAATATGCTTGTTTGAAATGGTTTATGTGGAAAGCTCTGACACATTCATTCTGTTCACCACTCCATCCACCCATCGCCACTCAGGAGCTTTGTCCCAAACTTTGTGGGGTTCTTCAGGAGCTTCTAAAATATAATGAATGATTCTTTGGAATATTATTTGCTTTACACTCACCATGTTTTCATATTATTTATTTATTTTGTATTTTAGGGAAGGGTGTGCAGGTTGTTCAGGGTCTCACTACTAGATCGGACTCATAGCGATCTGCCTGTTTGCAGTCTCCCAAGACCTGGGATTACAGGCGAGCGCCACCACGCCCAGTCTCAATTGCCATCTCAGAACACCCTGGGGGTGGGGCCAACACAGTAGGCCTGGAAATCGAACCCCTAGACCCCTGTGCCTGCTTGCAGGGGCTTTAATCAGCTAAGGTATCTGACCGGCCCTACTTACCATGTTTAACACTTAATCATAACCAAATTATCTACTATGTCTCATATTGTTGACTCATGATATTATGAGTACACCACGGTTATCAAGATGTGTAAACTGTCGATTTTACACTCATCTTGTTCTTCAGATTTATTCATTAGGGTATGTGTTCTTTTTTTTTTTTTTTTTTTTTTTTTCTTTTCAGAACCAGGGATTGAACTCAGGCCCTTATTCTACTGAGCCATCTCCCTGGCCTCTGGGGGTATGTGTGCTAATGTTTAAAATAACCATTCATAAAATTAATAAACAATGTGTTTTTTATATAATTGTTGAACAAGAACATTTAGTATCCCCACCTCTGGGCTGGGATGCACATGAATAGGAATGAAGGACACATGAAAGAAGCATGTGGGGCCTGGCATGATGGCCCATGAGTGTAATCTTGGGAGGCTAAGGTGGGTGTGCATCATGAGTTGGACATCCTGGGCTACAAAGTAAGTTCAAGTTCAGCCTGACCTACAGAGCGAGAACCTGTCTCAAAAAAGAAGCATATGGCTTGACTACAGTGCACTTGGCAGCAAATAGAGGCTGGGAAAAGTTCAGCAAAGAATGAGAGTGGCTTGTAGGCTTCCCATTTGATACAGTGCTTAAGTGAGGGTCACAGTGCAGAAGTGAATACCTGCAGGAGGGGATAGTGTCAGGACAGTCAGAATGAAGTGGGCTATGGGTGGGCTGAGCTGCTGATGCCCTCCCGAGGGCCCAGGGGGCTCTTAAGGTGAGTTACTGTAAGCTAGGATCGGAGGTCCCATCCAAGCCAGCTATTCCCCTCCTTGGTATTTTCTCGAAATAACTGAAATCATCATACCACAGTGATGTATGTGCACCCATATTTATAGCAGCACAATTTGTCATAGGTAAATTTTGGAAATAACCCAAATGCCTGTCAACTGAGGAAAAGATCAACTGAGGAATGGATAAAAAATACATGGTATTTTTATTCAATGTAGTAGTATTCAGCTATAAAAAAGATAAGTTTGAGGCTTTTTTAAAGATAAATAGATGCAACTAGAGACTACATTGGTAAGTGAAATAAAGCAGAACCACATGTGAAAACATCATATTATCTCACTATTGTGAGAACCTGAAAAAGTAATGAAAATTTAAAAGATACAACAGATACTGTAAAGGTAAAAAAAAATTGTTAAATAGGAAGGAAAAACTGGGGTGAGGAAAAGGACAAATGAAAGCAAGGAAAATATATTTAGGTATATTGCAGAATAGTTTGAATAATTTTATTGTCAATTTCTGCGGCTCTTTTGAAAGGAGTAATAATGCTTAAGCTTTTCTATTTTACTCAACATTTTTCCCCTTTTGAATGTCTTCTAACTTCTTTGTTATTGTTTGTTTTACTTTTTTCTTTAAATAAATCTTTCATGTTTATGTATGGTAATCTCATTTGAAGACAGCATCATGTAATACAACAACCATTGTTGAATTCCTATTACTTTGTTTAGTGAAATCTTATATCATTTCTAAGGTTTTTTTCTATCACTATTTTGTATTCTTAAAAAAAGAAGATGAGTTATTGTATTTTGAAATCAAAGATTTGATCCTGTCATGGAACTGACAACCTACAGTTCAGACTGTGAGTTCTTAGGATTTAAATAGAAGTTGGTGCTGTTAGTTAAGCCCCTCTCTTGGGTGAGGAAGATGGGTTGGCTTGATTCAGAGGAAGTGGCTATGAACCAACCAGGGTAAGAGACGGACTCAAAGGCAGAGGTGGAGCCCTCCATATTGTGGAAAAAGAGAAAAGATTTTTGTGGTGTCGGATCCCAGTAGAGGTCCATGATCTTCTTCTCCTGGAGAAGAAAAGAAACTTATTAGTGAGGAGGAAGAGGAGGAGGAGGAGGAGGAAGA